AAAAAAAAAAAAAAGAAGAAAAAACAGCTAGATTTCAAGACAAATGTAGAAAACTAAAAACAGGAACATGTCAGCATTGGACCCTGCCAGGTGTCCAACAGATTCTTAAAGACACTTAGAGAGGTCAAGGTCGAGAGCTTCAGATCTTTTTGTAAGATATTCCAGGAAACAGGAGCGGAATAGGAGAAGGCCCGTTAGCCTAGTTCAGTCCTCATTGAGGGAACACTGCAGGTAATAATGTCCTGAGAGCGCACTCCGTAGCTTCACTCACGCAGAGACATGTAGGAGGAGATGTATGAAGGCAACAGACCAAGAAGTGATTTAAAGATGAAAATATACCAGTGAGAGAGTCTGCGTGAAGTTAATGATGTCCAGTTAACCAGTGAATACAGGGTGCAGTGGTGGGTACGATAATCACAGCCAGTTATGAAGCTTAGTGCACCATGATAGACAGCATCCAACATCTGCAGGGTGCTTGTAGGAGCGTTCATGTAAATAATGTCACCATAATCAATTGAGGGAAGGAAAGTCACAGATACAAGGCGTTTTCTAGCATTCAGGGGGGTTAGACAGGATCTGTTTCTGAAAAAGAAACCCAGTTTAACTTTCAGTTTCTTTACCAAGTTTTCCACATGGAGCTTAAAAGAGAGATGTGAGTCGACCAAGATACCCAAATATTTATAGGAATCAACAAACTCAATGGGGACACCATTTGAGGATAAAATCGGAGGAAGAACTGCTGGGACCAACTTCCTATTTGAAAAAAGCATCCCTTTGGTTTTGTCGGCATTTAGGACAAGTTTGAGGCGAAAAAAATCAGTCTGGATGATGTTAAATGCAGATTTCAAAAGCTGGAAAGCCTTAGCAACAGTTTTAGCTTGACAATAAACAACTGTCATCAGCATAGAAATGTATGGATGCATTAGGGATGTTTTTACCTACATTATGTATGTAGATTGTAAAGAGGGTGGGTCCTAAGACTGAGCCTTGTGGTACACCATTGTTGACTGTTAAATAACTGGAGGAAGTACCATTATGTTGAACACATTGCCTCCGGTCTGAAAGATAGTTGGAGAACCAACCAATGGTGTGATCTGAGAAACCAATTTCTGAGAGTTTATGACACAAGATGTTATGATCCACAGTGTCAAAAGCTTTAGACAGGTCTAAGAAAAGTGCAGCACAATAATCCTTAGCATCCAGTGCTTCAACAACATCATTAAGAACCTTCAGTGAAGCAGTGGTTGTGCTGTGTTGTTTCCTGAAACCAGATTGATGTGGAGGTAAGATGTTAAATGAGTCCAGGTAATTTTTGATTTGAGAGTTTATCAGTTTTTCTAGAACCTTGGCTAAAATGCAGAGTTTAGAGATTGGTCGATAGTTGTTCAGTGAGGTGGGGTCTCCTCCCTTCAGCAAAAGAAGAACAAAGGCTGTTTTCCAAGCGTCTGGGATGGAGTTTTGTCTTATGGAGAGATTGAAGATGTGGGTCACAGGGACTGTGATATGAGCAGCCAGCCTTAAGAAATAAGGTGGAAGTTCATCAGGACCTGCAGATTTTTTAGGGTCAAGATCTTTTAACAGTTTATTAACCTCACTGACTGAGATTGGAGAAAAAGAGAAGGTGTGATTAACTGAGGACTGACTTGTAGGAGGGATTTGATTTGTAGAAGTTTGGTTATTAAGTGAAGTGGCTGATTTTCCATTAGTAAC